CCGTGCATGCCAAGCCTTTTCGGCCCCAGCTTTTTCCATCAACCAAAGAAAAGGGGTAGGGTTATGTGGAAAATAACTAGAGCAGCTATCATTTGGCCAGTTTGGGAGGAGAGGAAATAATAGGATCTTCCAAGGTCAAGAAAAATCCAAGGAAACACTTGTGGAGGGCACTACAATTAAAATCATTCATTGGCTGAAAGTCTTGCATCTTTTCAAGGATTTCTCTTATGATGACTTCATTAGAGGTTGGAGGGTTATAACTACGTCCTCTTCCTCTCCTCCTTTAGTCCAGGAGATTTGGTCCTCAACCATACAGGCTAGAGTGGAACTGAATTTTGATGGCAGCTCTCTAGGTAATCCAGGTCCATCGGGAAGTGGGAAATGAGGAAGGAAGAGTTCTGGCCCTCTACTCGGGTCCAATAGGGGTTGGTGACTCTTTAGGGGCAGGCTGAAATAAAAGCCCTACTTCAAGGTCTCAGATTGGCAAAACAGTAGAATATGCAACAGTAAGAAGTGGAAGGTGACTCCAAACTGGTTATAGGATGGCTACAAACTGGAAACCTGGGCACATGGTACTTCAGGCAACTGATAAAGGAAATTTTGATTTTAGCAAGGGACTTAAGGGTGCAGTTCAAGTCGGCAAGAAGATGATAGGGACACAGCTCGGCCCAGCAGCATGATACCCATACAGCCTTACCCGAATACCTATGTGAGAGGGCCATGTCAGCTAGTTAGTTACAACTGAATTAGCCCCCCATGTGATGTAAAGGGGTATAAATAATTGAAAGGCAATAAAGTGGATTACCTTTTTGAGCATCAAACGTTTCTTCTCTTTCTTTCTGTAGGAGGACTGACCTCCCTCGAAGAAGCTCCTGTGGTAGGCAGAAACCTACCAAGTGGTATCAAAGCCCAGTCTTGGGATGACACCATGGTGGGAACGAGAGCCTCTGTTAGTGAAGACAGAATCGAAAAACTGGAAGGGGATATGACTGAGATCAAGGCGGCCCTATCAGTGGTTCTAGCCAAACTGGAGAAGGCGCCTGTCAATGAGAATGTGGACCGGGAAGGAGAGGGCAGCAAACAGCCCAGTGGCAGATCTGGAGGAAGCAGAGTGTTGCAGCAGACCAAAATCACTTTCCCAAGCTTCTTAGGTGAGGACCCTGTACCATGGATTTATAGAGCTGAGAGATACTTCGAATACCATGAAATACCAGGGAATCAGAGGGTATCAACCGCCGCTATCAATCTGGAAGGAGAAACAATCCTCTGGTTCCAGTGGTTTCACCGGTCACACCCCCAAGTGACTTGGGCTGATTTCACTGATGCCCTATGTGTGCATTTTGGACCCACTGGGTTCGAAAACTACAATGAGCAACTGGCAAAATTGAGACAAACGGGGACAGTGAGGGAATACCAGGTGGAGTTTGAGCATTTATCCTCAAGGGTACAGGGGTGGCCGGAAAATGCTCTGTTGGGCAGTTTTATCGGCGGGTTGAGGGAGGATATCAGAGTGGAGGTGAAATCCACGCAACCTCTGACGGTCATGGCTGCTGTCGGCCTGGCCAGACTTTATGAAGAAAAAGTGGGCAGACTCAGAAGACCATTTAGCCGCTCTCAGGGATCTCTCCTGAGAACCCCTATGATGGGGTGCGGCCCTAAAGACAGAAGCGGCCTAGACCTAGCCACTGCTGGGCCCATTAAACCTGAGAACCAGGGCTTTAGGCCCAACGTCCCCTTCAAAAGACTAACATGGGCCGAGATGCAGGCCCGTAGGGAGAAGGGCTTATGTTATAATTGTGACGAGCTGTTCGGCCCAGGTCACAAATGCAAGGCCCAACAGGCCTTGTTGCAAACAGATGGGCCAGAAGAAGGAGAGCTGGCGGCTGAAAGCCTCAAAGAAGACAGCCCAACCAGCCTTGATATGATATTTGGGCTTGGCCCACCCGAGATTTCTCTCCAGGCCCTCACAGGCCTCACGTCCCCCCAAACCATGCGTGTCATGGGTAGATTGATGGGCTGGGAGGTAGCAATTTTGGTGGACAGTGGGAGCACCATGAATTTTGTTTCTGATGACTTGGCCATTCAAATGGGGGTGACCATTAAACCCACCTCTAAATTCAATGTCCAAGTGGCCAACGACAGTCAAATACCATGTGAAGGGGTCTGTAAAGACATGGAGCTAACCATCCAAGGAGAAATCTTCTGCGTTGATCTGTACACATTGACCTTTAGTGGGGCTGACATTGTTCTGGGGGTACATTGGTTGCAACAATTAGAGCGGGTGATTTGTGATTGGTCTAAACTAACCATGGAGTTTCAAAGGGGAGACCGCACCATAACTCTGAGCAGCTCCAGGATGCTGGTTCCACAACCAGCTACCCTCAGCTCAATCATCAAAACCAATTGGGACCAAATCTGACCCACCTTGATGTTCAAAGGGTCCTGCACGCCTGGCCCACGAACAGTGAAGGAAAAATGAGCAGTCTAGATCCACAGCTGCAAGCAGTTTTGGCTGAGTACCCCGATGCCTTTCAAGAACCACAAGGGCTCCCTCCCGAGAGAGTTCACGACCATCGGATTCCCATCCTACCAGTGGCGGCACCAGCCAATGTACAGCCTTACCGGTACCCATACTACCAGCGCCAGGAGATTGAGAACTTGGTCCAAGACCTCCTGCAAATAGGGTTCATACAACCCAACAACAGCCCCTACTCGTCCCCGGTTCTGCTAGTAAAGAAGGACGGTTCCTGGTGGTTTTGTGTGGATTACCGGGCACTGAACTCCATCACTGTTAAGGACCAGTTTCCAATCCCTTGATAGATGAGCTGCAAAGAGCTCGGGTTTTCTCAAAGCTGGACCTCCGGTCCGAATATCATCAGATCCGGGTTCACACTGACGATGTGCATAAGACAGCTTTCAGGACTCACGATGGCCACTACGAGTTCTTAGTCATGCCATTTGGTCTGTCCAACGCATCATCAACTTTCCAATCACTTATGAATGACATATTCAGACCCTACCTCCGTAAGTTCATTTTAGTATTTTTTTGATGACATTCTTATCTATAGCTCTGATTTGGAGCAGCATCTTTTACACTTGAAGCTAACACTGGATGTGATAAGGCGGAATCAGCTCTCGACCAAGACCTCCAAATGTGTTTTTAGGCAGGGACGAGTACATTATCTTGGTCATGTGGTGGAGGGAGGGGAAGTGAAGGCCGACCCTGAGAAGGTGGCCAGCATAAGGCAGTGGGCCAGGCCCACTTTAGTAAGACAGCTGCGGGCCTTCCTAGGCCTAACCAGGTATTACAGGCACTTTATTAGAGACTATGGGCTGATAGCAGCTCCGCTAACTCAACTTCTCCAGAAGAACGCCTTCTATTGGACTGAAGAGGCCCAACA